AAAGACAGATAATGGTCCTGCTTATGTTTCTAGGAAAATGCAACGGTTTTTTGAGTATTACAATATCAAGCATGTTACAGGTATACCATACAATCCTACAGGTCAAGCAGTCATAGAAAGATCAAATCGAACTATAAAGGATATGTCGAACAAACAGAAAGGGGTGGAAAACACCCCCAGAAATAGGTTACATAATGCTTTGTTAACCTTGAATTTTCTCAGCGCTAATGAGAAGGGAACAACAGCTGCAGAAAGACATTGGATAATGGAAAAGTCTACTGAACTAAATCAACCAGTTTATTTCAAGGATGTGCTGACCTCACAATGGAAGCCAGGAGATGTGCTACGTTGGGGAAGGGGTTTTGCTCTTGTCTCCACAGGTGAGGAAAAATTGTGGATACCATCAAAGTTAATAAAGGTTCGGTTTGAAGAAGAGAAGCCACTTGGAAAAGATAAATAACAATTCTTTCATAATGATGGCGAGCATACTGATGGTAAGAAATACAGATAGGTTGGAGGCAGGGTTCTTTTCTTATCTCCACAGGAAAATACTCATCTTCAAAGAAATTGAGGGACCCTGAATATTTAATTACTGATGGATGGACACATTTTGTAAGTATTAATTTATATATATATATATATGTCTTATTAAACATTTCTTTATAAATATGTAGAGCTGGTTTTGAAGTTCGACTCTGGCTCAGTCCCTCTCCAATTCCAAGCCTATTAGTAAGAGAAAAACCCAGAGTTTCTGGAGTTTCTGTCTCATGTCAAGAGCCATGATATGGGACAGAAAGAAATATGAGTTTAGAAAACATCTTTGCTTTTCTTCATATCTATCATACTTTTCATTGAATATATCTATCATGCCTTTCATTGAATATATATATGTATGTCTATATATGTCTATATGACTAATGTTTAAGTTTTTCACAATGAACAATGAGTTTTTCCTGAAGTGACATTTGAAGTTTCCAGGAAGAAGATGGGGCCCCACAACAACAACTCTACCTGGTTGATATGATGTCATGATACTGATAGCGCTACTACAAGACCTGTTTTCGATACCAGCTGCACAAGACGATCCCAACTTGATTAGCTGAAATGGTGCACATCTTGTACAACATTCTGGCCAGACCTCCACAAAATACTCAGAGACTATTTGCAATTTTAAAAGACATTGATCTTGAAATTTAACCATCATTTTACTTTCACAGGATCCCCCAGAAAGAACGTAGCCCCCATGACAGCTGGAAGTAATTCTAGAGGACGACGTCCCCTCTCCCAGTAAAGTTTACCCCTTGGTTTGGGGACATCATTTAGGGGTTGGGAGGTTGGGGGAGGAATTTTATAAGCTCAGGGATCATTTTGAAAAAAAAAGAGGGAATGATGGGATAATAGATTTATAATTGTGAGTTATTGCTTTTAGACAAATATATTGGTATAGATTCTTGTATATTGATACAAAGTTAAATTATATTGACTATTGTATGCATGCATGTTTCTATCTCTGTTTAAAACATTTTTTATGTATTGACATATATTGTATTGATAAATATATATTGTATATATTTACCATATTGCAGTGTACATTTCTACCTCTGATTAAGATACTTATATAATGTTTGTGTATTGATATATATTTACCATATTGCAATGTATATTTGTACAGTGTTTATATTTGGAGGTCATTATCCTCATTTGTTACACAGTTGTTTATTGTCTTAGTCTTTAAGTTAGATAGATATTGAGAATTATATAGATAAATAGTCACCTAAGTTTGTCATTTATAATTAGACTAATCAGGTTCTCTAGATATATAGAGATTATACTCAGTATAGATAGATAATCTTCGACCTCTTCAAAGAGCTGTAGAAAATGGCCTTTAATCTAACTCAGAGTTTCGTGATAGTGAGACACAATTGCTCCTGGCAACACCGCTCTATTCCCGAGAGAATGTTGAGCACCAAAGACACTCCACCTGGAGCCTTTCTTTTTGGCAGAACTGGCCTTTGGGCAAAGAAATGCCCATACCTCAACCACTGACAGAGATACAGAGCGTGCATCAATGGATAAAACAGGACTGTCATATCCTGCCAAGACAGGGTAAGATAGTTTTGAAAAGTTCCTTGCCTTTAATAATGGTTTGTCAGTTATGTTAGGCCTTAGCCAAAATTGGTTGACTCAACATTGCAAACGAGACTTTGGGTGATTGCCCAGGTAGTCAGTTGTCTCTGTCAATTGTTGCACATTTTGGATATATCTCGTTTGTTGAGTAGTGTTTATTCCCTTCTCAGATCTTTGACGGAGTTGAAGATTATATAATTGTAGTTACTCTCTACATTATTTAGACTCCTTGAGATAGAATGTTTAGCAAAACTTTTGTTCTCAATATTGTTTGTTATATTCATTATTTGTTATTATTGTATATAGTTGTATTTGGTTTAGTTCTGTCTTATTTAGACAAAAAGGGGAGATGTAGGGATAAGTCCCGCCCCTAAGGGGGCGTGTTCGCCTCGGGCTAATGTTTGCCTATAAATTTGGCAAGCGTGCTCCCAGAGGTCCCTTCTGCTTTCCTGGTCTCTGCGGGAATGGTGGTTCTGTAAGTCTATTTCGCCATTAAAGATGTATATATATTTTTACAATCTGTCTGCATTCGTTTACGCTGTTACAGACAATGCTCTTAACCACTGAGCCATCTCTCCAGGCCCCCTTATTTTTATTTTTTGTACTTTTTTAAACATTTGATATTTTGAGACAGGGTTTCTATATGTAACCCTGGCTGTGGCTGTCCTGAAACTTACTCTGTAGACCAGACTGGCCTCAGACTCAGAGATCTGCCTGCCTCGGCCTTCAAGTGCTGTGATTAAAGGTGCATGCCACCACTGCCCTTCCACACAGTCGTTTTGTTTTTGTTTTTTGTTTTTCAAGACAGAGCTTCTCTGTGTAGCCCTGACTGTCCTGGAACTCACTCTGTAGACCAGGCTGGTCTGGATCACAAAGATCTGCCTGCTTCTGCCTCCCAAGTGCTGGGATTAAAGGCGTGTGCCACCACCGCCTGACCCACAAATCCTTTTATTATTATTATTATTTAAAATTTATTTAATTATTATGTATACAATGTTCTGTCTGCATGTATACCTGCCCGCCAGAAGAGGGCACCAGATCTCATAGATGGTTGTGAGCCACCATGTCGTTGCTGGGAATTGAACTCAGGACCTCTGCTCTCCAGCCCCCCCCCCTTTTTATTTTCAACTGTGTATGTGTGTCTACTTGTAGACTTGTGCATATGACCCCTATGTCTGAGCAGTCCAGAAGAGGGCGCCAGATCCCCCAGAACTGGAGTCACAGGTAGTTAGCTGTGAGCCACCTGTCGTGGGTGCTGGGAATCAAGCTTGGGGCCTCCACAAGTCCAGTGCTTGCTCTTAACCATGGAGCCCTGTAAAATTCTAAAGTCCTTTTTTGAGCTTTCTTTCTCTCTTTTTTGTTTTTGAGAGTGGGTTTTTCTGTGTAGCCTTGGCTGTCCTGGAACTAGCTCTGTATATCAGGCTGGCCTCCAACTCACAGAGATCCGCCTGCCACCACCACCACCGGCCCTTTTTGAGCTCTTAGGGAATAATTAATGGGTGAGGTGGCGCATTAGTCCCAGCACTCGGGAGGCAGAGGCAGGTTGATCTGTGTGAGTTTGAAGCCAGTCTGGTCTACATGGTGAGGGACTAGCCCATAGGCATGCTAGACTGGGCTGTGAGAGAGAACTAGGGAATCAGGCATCTCAAGGCCTGCTGGGACAAATCTTCATGTTAGGATCATTGGGTTGATGGTCGAAAATGAGCTCTGAGCTTACACAAAGTAACTCCTTGGTGGTAGTTGTGGGACCTTGTGTGCCATAGATAGAAAGAGGAGGGCTGAGCTTTCATGCCCAGGCTGCCTTGCGTCCCCTTCCTGGTGCACTGGCCTCCATCGTTTTCGAAGGCCTGCTGTGGGATTACTTCCAAGGATTTGGGCTAGCGAAGGGAATGCGGCTCAAAGGCAGGAAGGAGGGGGTCCTTCCAGTACCCTGGACAGAGCATTCCCCGGCTCCGCCCCACGAGCGCCTCTACTGGCTCTGGTTGAGCGAGCCTCGCTTTCTGGGCCTGAGACTGCCTCAAAGCTGCAACAGGGTCCGAGAAGGCGGCCGTTGCCCTGCCAGCCGACCCAGGGCGGGGAGCCGGCAGCAGATGGGCGGGGGACGCCTGCCAGTTTGCCGCAGCAACGGCCACGCGTTGTGGAGGCGTGTCTAGGCCCGCTGGGGCCGAGGGGAGCAGCCGGGGCACACACCCAGGACCGCCCCTACTCGCCGGCCATGTGACCTCCGACTGTCCGACAGCAGGAATCGGGAACCCAGAGCCCATTGAATTGAAAATGAACTCCGAGGATTTTGGGTTGCCTCATCTTGGGGAGTGGGGCTCAGGTTTCCTTTTCACACTCTAGGGCCGGGGAACCAGGTGGGGTGCCCTAAATTCTACGAAGTGTTTTGAGCCAGGGGTCCAGCGACCTCAGTTCTGGTTCTGGCAGCCAGAACCAGATTGGACCTTGCTAGGACTGGATTTCCACGTCCAGCTCGGGGCAGTTGGTAGAGCGAATGGTCATCCTGAGGTCCGGGGCTTCGTAGCTTTGCAGCCGCTGGAGCCCTTGCGGCCCAGGGAGGAGCTCGAAGCCCGGTGGGCGTGAATGAAGCCAGAGGGTGCTGGAGAAGAGTCAAGAACCGGCCCCACCCACCCTTCCTGTCCAGGGAGTCAGCGCCCGCACGTCGCGCGACCCTGTCACAGAAGGGACTCTAAGGCCAGAGTGGCGTCTCTGGGGGGTAACACTGACTCGTCCTCTCCAGCCCCACCCTGTGCAGGGACAAAGGCGGGAGGTGGGAGTGGCCACTGGCCGGACTCCCTGAGGCGGGGCGGAGCAGGGACACAGCCTTCTTAAAGGCCTGCGGCTGTCTGGGCGCGCACTTCTTTGGCGCGAGATTGGGCTGGGCTTTGAACTTGGTTCCCGGCTTCGTTCTTAGCTCTGCCTTGCAGCAAGGACAAGGATCCTCCACCCCGAGGTACCGGACCCTGCGCGCTTTTCGCTTTTCCCCGGAGCATGAGACTGCCTAGAAGAGTAGGGGACGCGGCTGAGCTGCGCAAGGTAGGAGTGGGAGATAGGGACTCGTGGCAGGGTGGGTAGGCACCCGTGATTTTCCTAACTGTGGCCTTTGCGCCCATCCACCTTCGGGCAGAGCCTGAAACCGCTGCTGGAGAAGCGCCGGCGCGCACGGATCAACGAGAGCCTGAGCCAGCTAAAGGGGCTGGTATTGCTTTTGCTGGGCGCGGAGGTGAGTGTCTGGGAGCTCGGAAAACCGAGGTGGAGAGTCCTGAGGCACACAGTGGGGCGGGTGGGCGGGCGTGGTCCCGGGGCTCCTTCGGGATCAGAAGGCCTCCTGAAGAGATCTGAGCGATGGAGTGGTAGAGACCATCCGGCAACTGGCTAGCATTTGGATACAAAAACGAGGTATCCAGCTGCCCGGTTTGTTATGGAGTATCTTTCTTGCCTGGCCTGGTGCAGACTTCCCGCTACTCGAAGCTGGAAAAAGCGGACATCCTGGAAATGACCGTGCGCTTCCTGCAGGAGCAGCCTGCGTCCCCCTACCCCACTGCAGCGCCGGGTGAGTGACCACGCTCCTCGCTCCCCACGGCCTTTGCTGCGTGCACAGTGCTTGCACCTGAGCCTCACATTGCTCTCTGTCCGCAGGGTCCTTGGATAGCTACCACGAGGGTTACCAAGCCTGTCTGGAGCACCTGGCCCGCCTGCTGCCGGCCTGCAGCGTCTTGGAGCCGGCCGTGAGCGCGCGCCTGCTGGAACACCTGAGGCAGAGGACTGTCAGTGGTGGCTCGCTTTCACAGACGCCCACGCCCGCCCCTGCTCCAGCTCCCTCTCCGCAGGTGCCTCCTCCGGGCAGCCCTGGCCTCTGGCGGCCCTGGTAGGTAGGCTCCTGGATGTTCCAGGACGGGGACCTGTATGGGCTAGCTGACCAAGGAAGTTCCAGATGGTGGCTACATCTCCCTCACTTGAGAACAGTGAGTGCCCACAACCCTAGCAAGAATCTGATGCTCATGACCTATCCGGATGAAGACTTCAAGGGCTCAGCTGGAGGGAAAAGAGAATGTCTGGGCAGGAGAATAAAGCAATGTCTGCCGGGTGAGGAAGAAACCCAGACTTGGACGGGTAGAAATGGTTCTGGCACTGGGCCAGCCAAAGCTGCCTCAGCAGGGACAGACCTGCCCCAGTGTGGGCAGCAGACCAACCTCTGGTCTTGGAGCTCACTTGGGCCACCTGCTCTGATGGGTGACGGCATTCCCGGCCACGCCTGGATATCAGCTGGGCTTGTGAACCTCTCTATAACCAGAGCAATGACGTGGGAGGCCTTTGACCTTTGCCCACTCCGGAAGCTCTTCAGAACACTGAGCAGGGCTTGGCGAAACACCTCCTCCACTCCTAGGCTTCCCCTCCTAGTGACCTCTACTGCAGGTAGTGATGGGGAGGACTTCCTAATTTGCTCCTCCACGAATTCTCTTTCCCATACACCAGGCCCAGTGGTCTTCACAGGTGACAAAGGATGAGACAAGTCTGAGGCTTCCCCGTGGCCTTAAGGAACTTGGTGGCTTCGGAGGAATGGAACCCAGCACAGGTTGCAGAACTCAAACTTTGGGATGGCAGGGACCCAGGAGGTAGCGGCAGGTGAAGGAACATGAACCACCATGCCTGCTTTCTTCATTAAACCACTCCCTGAACCCAAGCAGTTGGGCTACTATATATAAGCAACTTGTTCAGAAGTTATTTCTCCCAAAATGGAAACTCAGAAGCCTCTGAAGACCCAGAGAAGGGGCCTTCGGATCCCAGGAGTGAGTGCTCGGAGAAAGCAGGAGAATTCATGAACCATGGTCACTCCAGGTCATGAGCGTTGCAGCAAGGTTGCTTTTCCCTCTGCCTGTGCTGGGGACCAGGACACTAAAGCCAAGGAGACAAACGGACCAGGGAAGGGGCAGTCACCGCTCCTCTCTGCCATGTACATGATGACCCTGGGCACTGATTTGGGTGGCAGGAAGGAGGTGGGGAAGTTGGAGGCATTCTTAAAAAAGAAAGAAAGAAAAATCCACATGAAGACGGCAGGGGCTCCCAGAGAAGCTGTGCTGGGCCCTGTGGCCTAGACTGTGATTCTGGGAGGCAGGGCAGGCAGAGCGCACCTGTGCATCTCTGGGGCACGACACACAATGTTGCTCAACAAACACAATGGGTTAGAGGGTTCGATGTGACTGGCTTACATGGTGATGAACCTTGGACAACCTGACTTTTGCTTTAACCGCCACTCCAAGTTCCTTGCTCAGGGGTCCTCAACCCTCCTCATGCTGCGACCCCTTAATACAGTTCTTTATTTTATGGTGACCCCCCCCAACCACAAAAATATTCTCGTTGCTACTTCATAACTGTAACTTTGCTACTGCTTATGAACTATAATGTGAATATCTGTGTTTTCTGACAGTCTTAGGCGACCCCTACGAAAGGGTCATTAGAACCCCAAAGGGACTGAGACCCACAGGTTGAGAACTGTTGTCCTAACATCCCCTGTTGACTGAGGCTGCTTGTTCACTTCCCGGCCACCCAGACCCGAAATAATCATATGAAAACTACATGAATTACAATCCTGTTTGGCTAATGACTCTAGCATGTTTCGAGCTGGCTCTTACATCTTGAATTAACCCATTTCTACTAATCTATGTATCACCACTAGGCTGTGACTTACTGGTGCCGGCATGTTACAACTGTGGCAGCTGCACGGCGTCTCTTTGACTCCGTTTACTCTCTCTCTACATCTCTGTTCAGATTTTCCACCTGGCTTTACTCTGTTAAAGGATTGGCCGAAAGCAGCTTCTTGATTAACCAATGGCAATGAAGCATATTCACAGTATACAGAGGGGCATCCCACATCAGTTGGTCACCGAGCTAGCTGTCCCACCAAGGCACAAGTGCAGCCTATTTCCTGGGTCTTGGTGGAACAGGAGAAGCAGAGGACCCTGCCTGTGGCCCAGCTGTGGCCCGGCTGTGGCCGGAGCTCATCCAATAGACTCTGGGCTTCTCCTTGAATCTAACGGGACAACCTTCTGTCGCCATACATAAGAACTCTCCACACTGGTGTATGCTCCATCTCTCCCCGTGGAGTGAGACTCTGTCTCGAAAATCTAAATCCCTAAAAACCTCAAAACGAGCCGCCAAGGTGGTACATGCCTATAGTCCAATGTTGGGAGGGGATACAAGTATTGAGTTCAGGGTTAGCCAGGACTACCATTGCATGGCCCACCTCAAAAACAAAGCAAAAGGCTTTCGGCACTGATATTTTAGTTTACTGAGATTCACAGTTATCTGCCTGCCACTGCTTCATGAGTGCTGGGATTAAAGGTGTGTGCCATCACCCCAGTTTAAATGTATTTTTGTTGATTTATTCGTTGTATGTATATGGGTGTTTGGCTTGCAGCACATGGGTGTCTGAGGAAGTCAGAAGGCTTCAGATCCCCTGGAACTAGATACCCGTGGTTTGAGCCACCATGTGGGTGATGGGACTCAAACCTGGGTCCTCTGCAAGAGCAACAAGTGCGCTTAACAGCTGAGCCATCTTTCCAGAGCTGCTTTTATTTTTTGAAGTATGATCTCACTATGTAGCGCTGGCCTGTGACTCCTAGTGATCCACCTGCCTCTGCCTCTCTCAAGTGCTGGGATTAAAGGTGCGGTCCACCACACCTGGCCCTCCACACAGGTTTAAACTCTGTGGGAACGGACGGACTGGAAGCCTTCTTTTAGCTCTGTGTCCTCCACATCCTGCTTCTGAGTGTCTATTTTGGTTTCTAGTTCTCTGACACGTATTGACCTGGCCTCAGGCCATTAGGCAAGCAGCTCAGAAGCGGTGTGTGCATGGGTAAGCTGGTGACTCATAGGGCCAGGTGTCCTGAGATCCAGGGCCCTGGCATGCCCAGGTGGGTGAGGTGCTCAGCCTGAGGCAGGAAGCCAGTTTCTCAGTGGAGTGTGCTGGAAGTCCTGGAAGGTCTAGGCTGAAGTTCCCAGCAGGGCTGGTGAAACACGGATACTCACATCCTCTCCAGAAGACGCTGTGAGCACCTCTCCCTGACAGCTCCTTCACTGCGCCCAGAGACCTGCCTGGGATGAGCAGGCCAGTGGCTCTTTCGGCGTTCGATAGAGGCTGCTTCAGAGAGGCCTTGGTGTGAGTGTGAGCACGCACATGTGCACATGGAAGACGAGGGTCACTCCTCAGGTGCCTTTACCTTTGTTTGAGATAAGATCTTTTACTGGAACTTTCCCAGATAGGTTAGATTAGCGAGCTGCCAGGGTTCTACCTCTCTTCCATCTGGCTGTGATTATAAGTACCTACTATGGGTCACAGCCAAGCAGACATTGTACGACCCTAAACAAGTCCATAACTGACCAAGAGCTATTCAGATATCTGTTCTGGGGTGTCTGCATGTTGAATCTAACTAGTCATCACGCCAGCTGGAGAAAAGGTCCCTATTGTCTCTCACTCCAGTGGCAGAGAGGACTATGCCTCAAGGATGGGATGTCAGGTGACTGAGCTGCCTGGGAACCTACTCTTGCTGAGATGCCCACTTTGGAGGAGACCCGCTTGCCCCTCTGGGACCAGAGTGAGGAGAGGTGGTATCTGCCTTCTGGGAGACTGAGACTGTTTGTTGTGTGTAGACGAAGCCTCTCCTGCACCTGTCCAATTGTTCTGCCCCACCTGTGAGTTGATGCAGTGCCAGGGGAGGTCCCACTGGTCTGCTTGGGATGGGCAGAATGAGCATAACTTGCAGGAAACACCTAGACGAATCTGTATCCCTGTAGAATCCTGCTAAGTCCTCTTTGGGCTGTGGGGTCTCCCCTGTGGAGGGGTGGTGGAGTTGAGGGATCTTCCTGTGGGGGGGGGCACATCTACAACAGTCTCTGGCCATGGCAAGCTGAAAGGGCAATGGACTCGCAACAGAGGCTATTGAGGTGAGACACTGGGTGCTGACCCAGGCAGCTCTAAAGAGCCAGGTTTGACCACTTGTCCTCAAGCCAAATAAAGGGACAAGCAGCTCATTAAGTAAAGGGGTTTGCACGCAAGACTGGTGACCCGAGTTTGATCCTCAGATCCCATGTAAAGGTGGACAGAGATAACCAACTGCACGACGTTGTCCTCTGACCTCCACATGCAGCCCATGGCCCCCTGCATCCGCCACATAATAATTAATAACCACCACGACCACAACAATAGTAATAATCTTAATTTTTTTTTTTTGTTTTTCGAGACAGGGTTTCTCTGTGGCTTTGGAGCCTGTCCTGGAACTAGCTCTTGTAGACCAGGCTGGTCTCGAACTCACAGAGATCCGCCTGCCTCTGCCTCCCGAGTGCTGGGATTAAAGGCGTGTACCACCACCGCCCGGCTAGTAATAATCTTAAAAGAGATAAAGTTGTCAGGCACGGAGGTATGCCTTTAATCCCAGCACTCGGGAGGCAGAGACAGGTGGATCTCTGTGAGTTTTGGGTCAGCCTGGTCTACAGAGTGAGTTCCAGGACAACCAGGGCCACACAGAGAGACCCTGTCTCCAAAAGAGAGGGGGTGGGGCTGGAGAGATGGCTCAGAGGTTAAGAGCACAGACTGCTTGCTCTTCCGGAGCAATTTCCAGCAACCACATGTGGACACACCCAGAGAAGCACAGCAATCCCGTGACTTTGGTAGTCTGTCTTACAGGGTTTAAACTGAAGACAAGAGATGTGTGAGCTAGGCAGTCCTGACCAGGGTGTGGGCCCATCATGATCTCAGCTCCCATCTCTCCAGCAAGGTGGTCTGTGGTTGTCAGAAGTGTGTGGAATCCTCTGGCTGGCACCAGGCTCCAGCCCTTTCTGTCTTCCAGGCTCAGCATGAAATGCCTGGGGAAATTCTAATTCACTGGGGTTCATTGAAAGCCAAGGGGTTTCTGGCGGTTAAAGTCTCAGGCAGGCTGGCTGGGGGTGACTTTATTCTCCTCACGGACTCTGGGAGCTTTCCCTAAGCACACCCGACATCCGGGCCATCCCAATTCCGATTATTTTTAAGCCTTTTGCATATTAATTTTGTAGAGCACATCCGATGGTTTGAAGTGTTGGTTCCTATGTGGGCTGCCGACATGTGGGCTGCCTGCACATCTCTGGGCTGCACCGGCCTCTGGGAGAGCTGCCCGGGCATGCGATATCCGGGAGAAGTCAGCCACCCACCGAGGCTTCCCAGTGAGTAACTAGTTTCTCTTGGGGTTTTCAGAGGCCTGGGCAAAGCCTCGAGCAATTAAAGCAGCTCCAATAAATCATGAATAATGATTTTAGGAGCATGAGAAAGGCGCTGGAGGACACACCCCATACACAGGGTGACTTGTTATGGAATATCCACTAGGGGCAGCAGGAAGCAGGGCTCTGTGGATTGTCACGGGGCCTGTCTGCGGGAATGTGGCCTTTCCTGGCAGGGGAGTAAGGAGGGTGAAGGGAGAAGACTTCAGGCTGAGTATGTGCCTGCTGATGCTTCTGCTGTAGAGGGTTTGCCCAGAACCCTATCTTCTTGGGGTCTTGTGATAGTTTTAACATTGGTGGGGTTATAAGCTGCCCAACATGGATGCTGGGAACTGTTCTTAACTGCTGAGCCATCTCTCCAGCCCTGCTCCTAGCATTTTGAATGGATATTTTATCCATGCAAGATTAGGTAGCATACCTCATTGGTCATCTGGAAAGCACTAGCTCATAAAACCTGCTGCTGCACGACTCCCCCCACTGCTATTGTTCCTTTTTACAATATCACCACAGGACAGGGAGCTGCGGCCACCACCGCGCACTTGTGAGAGAACGAGAGTGGGAAATGCCATCTGTGTTTAATACGGTGCTCAAACCATTTCTCACACACTGGGAAAGAGTCTTGGTACTTCTAGGATTCACAGAGAAAACTTGGAACTGCTTAAATGTGGACAATACAAAGCCATAAAAAATACAGAATCTGGGGGCTGGAGAGATGGCTCAGCCATTAAGAGCACTGGCTGCTCTTCCAGAGGCCCTAAGTTCAATTCCCAGCAACCACATGGTGGCTCACAACCATCTGTAATGAGATCTGGTGCCCTCTTCTAGCCTGCAGGCAGACATGCAGATAGAACACTGTATACACAATAAATAAATTAATTAAAAATACAGAATCCATCAACTGAGAGATGGCTCAGCAGTTACGAGCACTTGAGCATTTGTTTCCTTTCCAGAAGACCTTAGTTTGGTTCCGGTACCCTTATTAGGTGGCTCACAGCAGCCTGTTACTCAGATACCCCATTGTGGCCTATGTGGGCACACACACACACATGTAATTTAAAAATAAGTAGTTAACCAGGAGGTAGTGCACACCTTTAATCCCAGCACTTGGGAGACAGGAGGAATCTCTGTGAGTTCAGGCCCAGCCTGGTCTACAAAGCTAGTTCTAGGACAGCCAGGGCTACGCAGAGAAACCCTGTCTCAAAAAAACTAAAACAAACATATAAATATTTTGAAATACACAATCTAAATTCAGGCATTGTGACTTGCTCTTGTAATCCTAGCACTTGGGAAGCTGAGGCAGGAGAATATGGAGTTTGAGAAAGCCTGGGCTACATAGTGAGAGACCTTGTCTCAAAACAAAACAGAACATAAAGTTAGAGCAGCCATACTAAAAAAATATTTTGGCTGGGCATGGTGGCACACGCCTTTAATCCCAGAACTCGGGAGGCAGAGGCAGGCAATTTCTGTGAGCTCGAGGCCAGCCTGGTCTACAGAGTGAGTTCTAGGACAGCCAGGGCTATTCCACAGTGAAACCCTGTCTTGAAAAATAAACAATAACAACAAAACCAAAAACCAACCAACCAAATAAATAATAAATTGTTATTTATTTGAGAAAGGACTTTACTGTGTAGACCAGGCTGTCCTAGAACTCAGAGATTCCTCCTGCCTCTGCCTCTTGAGTGCTGGGATTAAAGGCTTACATCACCATGCCTGGTAATTTTATTTTTTAAATTGTGTATGTGTGATGAAAATGTGTATGTGAGTGCAGATGCCTGCAAGAGCCACAAGAGGGCGCCAGAGCCTCAGGAACTGGAGTTGCAGGTAGTTGTGAGCCACCCCACGTGGGCTGGGAACTAATATAAGTCCTCCAAAAGAGAAGCTGTTAAGTGCCGAGCTGTGTCCCCATCCTCTAGAGTAACCAAAAAATTATATATTAGATCAAACAAAAATTAGCCACCCACCCACCCAACCAAGCAAACGGTTTGCAGATGCTATGGCTCCTCAGTGGTGAACGGGACACGAGAAGCAATGACATAACCAAGAAGACA